AATCACGCCCTCATCAATCTGTTATTTGATCCAAACATGAAAAACGATACGCATGTGGTGATAATAATAATAGCGGTATTGAAATTATATCCATTTGCTATTATAGTATTTACTACGAGTCATCGTGCACATGAATGGCAAAGAAGATTCGAAAAACAATTATTTTTCCATGTTGATGTAGCATTGCAAGAGAAAATCAAAGAAAGCTTAGAAAAAACTCCCATGTTCTGAGAGTATTAGAGACACAGTAAAAATTAATTCAAAATTACTTGTACTGGAGATATTGATGAAAAAGCTGAAAAAAAATTATGCAAATCAGAAAATTAAAATGAACAGATTTGAGTGTAAAACTAATAAGGTTTGCGTAATGTAACAGACCATCTATGTACCAAGTTTCAGTGAAATGTGTTGATTAATATGAACAGATTTTAACCCAAAACTGATATTTGTACATTGTCCTATAGCATCTATGTACACAGTTTCATTGAAATGTGATGATTAGTAATTGAAATATCAGTGTGAAAGTTGAAAATTGAATAATTAGGTGATTAATATGCATAAATATATACCAACAACTAATTGGCTCTCTGCATAGTTTAGATTAATTTAAAGGTGATGATTAGTACTCAAGATATCAGTGAAAAAGCTGAAAATTAAATAATTATGCAAATTAGGTCATTAATATGCACAATTATTTACCCCAAAACTAATCAGGTCTCTGCATAGTTCTAGAGAACCTATGTACAAAGTGTCATTGAAATGTGATGATTAGTACTTGAGATATACTTGAAAACCCGAAAAATAACTAATTATGCAAATTAGGTGATTAATATGCATAAATATTTATTTCAAAACAATTGATCTCTGCATAGTCCTTGAGTATCTATGTACCATGTTTTATTGAAATGTAATGCTTACTACTTGAAATATCAAAAGCTGAAAATTAGGTAATTAATATGTACTGATATTACTCTAAAAACTACCAGGTCTGTGCAGTGTCCTTCGACATCCAGGTACCAGGTTTCATTGAAATGTGATGATTAGTAGTTGAGATACATGTATCAGTAGAAAAGGACAAAATTTACTAATCATTATGCAAATTTCATTCAAAACTAATCAAAACCTGGCATTAGTTTAGAGCATCTATGAACCAAGTTTCATCAAAATCCAATGAATGGTTCTTTAGATATCAGTGGAACAGTCATGGAACAGCTAAAATTTAGCTAAGTATCATGCAAATTAGGTAATTAATATGCATGGATTTTTACCAAAAACTAATCAAATTTGTGCATAAGTTCAGAGGATCTATGTACCAAGTTTCATCAAAATTCAATGAGTGGTTCTTTAGATATCAATGGAACAGTTATGGAACAGCTAAAAATGAGCTAATTATCATGCAAATTAGGTAATTAATATGCATGGATTTCTACCAAAACCTGATAAAATCTGCACATTGGCCCATATCATCTATGCACCAAGTTTCATCAAAAACCGTTGTATGGTTCTTGAGATATCAGACCGACACACACACACACACACACACACACACACACACACACACACACACACACTAACTGCAAAGACTCTCATTGTGTGCTTCGCACACAGGAGTCAAAAACGATTGCAGCAGAACATAAATTTGTGTCGCTGACGACAGTTTGCATTCATTTCATTCATTACTACAACATCCAACCATATCTAGCTGCACTTCATGTTACACTAGTTATGAATCAGTATGTGTTATTTTAAGGCATGATTTCGTCTCATACTGAACGTTCAAAACAGCAAATCTCGGCACATGCCAATTTTCGGTCCCAAACATCTATCGGGATCGAGATCATGATTTTCGACTTGTCCTGACTTGGTTCTGACTGTTGACACACATGTTTCTCAGTCATGAGTCCCAGCACGTGCCAAGATCTCTAACGTGAATGCTGTGATTTTCTCATTACTGGCTACTAGCAATTGTGTAAACAACAATTAATGTATGTACTGTATTAATAGTTTTTCAGCAGTATGAATTAAATATCTGTTGCGCAAATTATTGTAATTTTCACTCAAATCATACTATATTCAAAACTAGTTGACATTTGTTAGTTTGGTGAATCAGTGTTCAAGTTGTTATTTCAAAGTTTTTGAACTTTCTGAAAATCACCCGGAACTGGAAATGGCTGTGTCAACTTGTTTGGGTCAGCATTTTTATGCCAGTTAAAACATTTGCTGTTCAAATTAATTTTTACTTGTTTCATACTATTTTCAAGACCATTGGCATGTTTTAGTATGGCGAATCATTTTCAAAAGTCGTTTTTCCGAAATGTTCAAACTGTTTAAAAATCATTCAAAAGTCTAATGGATAAACCTAAGTGCGTCTTTGGGGTCAAACAGGTGACATATAATAATGATCCCACCTTGTGTGAATTATGATTTGGCCAAAAGAATTTAGGCAAGAAAAATAAACAGTCACGCTTTTTAGCTCTGAGAATCTGACCATGTTCATGCCTTTTGTTTTACAAGCAAAAATTATTGTGAAGTAAAAACTATTCACCCGTGCCTGTCACTGGGCGTTTAAAATAAATTGGAGTTGGGGAAATAACGCTATCAGGACCACCAAGTTTCCTAAATAAGACAAGTCATTATTAATGACCTAGTCCCCGTTGGAATTAGAGAAGTGTTATTCATACCAAATATAAAGTAATATGGACCAAAAGCATAGTAATTTAAAGTGAATAATTAGCTGGTCTAGTATCATTAGAAATCGGATGTATTAATTGTCTCTTCCAAAATCCAAATATATTCATGCATTTTTTGTATTCAAACTAAATTTCATTTGTCCAGGCTCATGTACAGAACACAAAACAAATCATCATGGAAATGTAGTTCAACATGTATGATGTTTGTATCAAATTTGAAAACTGACAAATCCTGCACAAGATACCACATTTTCAAAAAAAAACAAGATGGATGCCAGTCGACCATCTTTGATCTGATTATGGAACAAACTGACATGAACATGTATTCTTCTATGTATGATGCATGTGCCAAATATGAATGAAAATGATCCCTAAGCCTTGGAGATATATAGCAGTATGGTCTATAAGCAAGATGACCACCAGAAGGCCATCTTTGATCTGAGTGTAAAACAAATTGTCATGGATAGGTAATCTAAAATGTACAATGTATGTACCAAATTTGAACAAAAACTGACAAAGCAAGCATAAGATACCACATTTTCTCCAAAAAAATGGCTGCCAATCAGCCATCTTTGATCCGATCACGAAACGAATCATCATATACATGTATCCATTTATAATGTATGTAACAAATTTTAACAAAAGCCAACAAAGCATGCACAACATATCACATTTTCAAATGGACGGATGGACAGTGTGGTATATGTGGCCGCGGTCGTCACTTAAATTTTCTTCTTGAAATCGTGCATTTCTGAAATTATTATTATTTTTATTTTAAAGCCAATTGTTTAAATTCATTTTCATTTTAAAATCCATTTTCATAATACATTTTTGTTTTTAAAATCTATTTTCATTTTGAAAATCTGTTGTCATTTTTAAAATCCATTTTCAATTTTGTTGACCTTTGAACTATAAGTACATATGTATTTTTCACATTGAAGCAAATTTTCCAACAGAATTTACTGAAAAATCACTGTTGTTTCCTGCCTATCGCATTAACTTTAACTGTTTTTAAATGTTTTTAATGAGATTCTCATTTTGATTCAATATTCAATTTGTGTTTTTAATATCATTTCAACTTGATCCTGATAGTTATTTTTTTTTTATTTACACCTGTGATGTTTCCATGGTAAGGCTTTACACAAGTTTCTTTTCAGACTATAACTTATTTAGCTGTGGTTTGGGGTCCATAAAGGGTTCTTGGCTTCATCTGTCGGCTTAAACTGAGGTGTCAAATGCATTTGTGGTCCGGCTTGTATACCGACATACCCTCTCTGGCACCAAAACGCAGCAGAACCACAGCTGTAACCTATTCTAATCAACCTTGAAGGTTGATAATCAGATCAACCCTGGTGATTCTAAAAATATATACTTTATTGGGTCTTTTTTTTAGCCATTTAGTCCCAATCAGAAGATGAAAACAAGATGAAACCTTAAGAGAACATTTTGGGTGGTACTCATGACATGTTTATTAAATACATCACAACATAAATTTATAAACCTTGTTTGTTTCACATGACATGTGCCAAGATACTGCATTTGTTCAGGTCAATGACCATACTCTGACCTATCTGATGTTTACAAGAGGGATCTCTTCAACCCTGGATAATCCATGTATTAATCCAAGTGCCAGCATGGACATGGATACCCTGGTATCACCAATCCACAGAGTAAATCATTAGCATTCCAATTAAGGCTGTGTAGAACCTATAATTACCTTATTACCAAGTAAGAAAATTTAACAGAAATAAAAACACAAAAAAGTTTCAAATCGTTGAAAAAACAAAATGGCAATAATTCAGCCATATTTGGAACACCAATGATTTATAAGGGTATGTGCATATGCACGTCAATATTTACATGCATAAGCTTGAATGAAATGAATCTAGTTTTCTCTGAGAAATCAAGATAATAAATAAAGATGCTTGCAAGTATCATCAAAGACTGCAAAATTGAAACCCAATAAATAAATATAAAACATTTACTAAATTAGAAAATGTTGAACTTAAAACCAAGTGAATATTCATACATCACTAATCTGCTAAAATAAAGCCATGTGAATAATTTTTTAATATTTTAGAAATTAACATTTGTTATGACAAATGTTATAAGAAAACTGAATAACATACATTAGATAAAAAATGGGTGCTTATCCAATATGTATTGCAAACTTTACAGAATCTGCCAATGCTAATAAACCAGCATGGACAAAAACACACACTGAATACACAAATATTGGGTAGATCTAGCAGGTACTAGTTATTTTAACATTATATATTCACAGGAATTGAAACTCTATGTGCCACTTACCTTTGATTTCTAACGTCTTTCATGATATCAAGAAAATGTTCATAAAATTCAGGGTTACCATGGAAACTTGACCGGACTTTATCAACAAAACTAACTGCATGATCAGCTGTGATATTTTTTTTCTTGGATTCAGGTTTCACTACTGCTACTGGAGTTTTGGGCTGCAGAACACAAGTCACAATACATTATCAAAAATTATATCTGTAAAAATTTAACCATAACATAACCATAATTTTTAAAATATTTGTAATATTCAAAATATTTGAAATACAATAATATGTATTTGAATATGCATGAATCACAGAACCTTTGCAACTAATATTTGTCTGCTATTTGTGAATCACATTATCAAAATTTCAGTCTAATTAATTCCAGAGCACCTCTGTGACAAATTCAATTTCAATCTGATTTTTTGAGATATCAGAAATGGGCTAATAATAATTAGATAATCAATATGTATGTTTTTTCAACATAAAACTAATCATGTCTGTGGATTACCCTAATGAACCAAATAAATTATTATGCAAATTAAGCAATTATTATGCATACATTTAGGTCTGTGTATTGTTACAGGGTAAACATGTACTAAGTTTCTTTATAATATGATGATGAATTCTAAAAAAACTGTTGGAAAGCTAAAAAGTAAATTATTATGCAAATTAGATAATTATGGATGTATATAAATCCATAAATAATAATATCATCGCATTGTCTTAGAGTATATATGTACCAAGATTCATTGAAATAAGATTATAAGTACTTGAGACATTGATGGAAAAGCTGGAAATAATCAATATGCAAATATTATTAACCTAATACCAGTCAGGTCTCTGCATTGTCCTATGACATCTACGAAAATGAACTCACAATCTAAACCAATGAGACATTCAGACTGTAAATCATTGAAAGTTAAAGGTTTAGTAAACATTCCCTGTGAGTGGAACAAATTCAGATAATCCAATACTTCAAAACGATAATGCCCAAAAATGAATGAATTGCTGATATTACTAGACAAAAAATTAATTGTACAGTAATTTAAATTATACTATCTGTTGTACATTTATAATGCAAATATCCTGAATTGACTTGTGCTCTTTCATCATAATATGCTTGAGGAATGTGAATATGGGTATATGAAGTTTATATGGGTTTAGTACATTCAAGAAAGGTGTCAGAGG